GCTATCAAAACATTTCTCATAGTTTCTTTTGTTTTCGGTCTCCTTTGCGCAAGAGAATCTGCTGTCAAATAGAACAGCAGTTATTCGCTTTCAATTGGAAAAAGGAGTAGTCAATAAATACCCCAATATTTTGGGTTCACATGGGCACCGCGTACATGAACAACCATGTATAGAAGCCGTACGACAGATCCTTCTCTTATAGAGGTAGGTACCTGTAACATATGGTATAATAATGTAATATAGTCAGCGGTGATGTTATATAAACAYGTCGTTATATACCTCTTTTATCGAGGTATAGCAGTTTGTATGGTTAAGCAGATCAAGGTGTCCTTATTTTAGAAACATAAAGGTATTCCAACATGCCTAACAGCTTGACATAGCTTACTTACTATAGAGCTTACGTGCTTAGTTGGCCTGAGGTGCAACATACATGCTATCTATGCTTAAACAAACTGTTAGCAAAAAAAAAAATCAAGCAACCAGATGGAGTGATAAGACAATTCTATCCCGTTAAAATGAGATATTCTTTCTTGATTTATAATTATGTAAATTATTTTAKCCTTTTTTCCAAAATGAAACACTGGAAAAAAATTCCCAATTGATACAGTTAAGATCAAACGAAATGCCCGCAATTACATCTCATTGTACGGAATTAAATGGACTTTTCGTCGATCCAGCCATTTCTATTACAGTCACTCATAAATTATAATAGTGCATACTAATTTACCGTTAGTTTTACATTGACAGCCGTATACCAAGCGATACCTCACGGAAAGGTGTGGTATCACTTCATATCTTGGCAAGTCGGTTACATTAGGTCACACAAATGCTTATATTAACAATGCTTTAGCATGCTAATGCTTTCAATAAACAAACGAGRGCGAGATTTTATGCAACTACATTAACATTTCGACAAAAAATAATAATTAAAAACCTTTTTAMTGACTGGACCACCATCTTGAACAACACATCATTCTCTTACTTATTGACTGTTGAGTCGGTTAATGGTAAAAAACCATACCAAACACTTTTAAGTGTTAAAATACCGAAATTGATCCCAAATACTAAAAGCTTCTCAAAAGGCCGCTCTTTCTAAAATGATGAACAATTGGTACGTTTAAGGTGATGCCCATGTTATCAAATTCATTAATAATTCATTTGCCCTGATTTGCATACGACTTTAACTTCGATTTTCTCTTAAAAATGATATTTTATGCTGAAGTTGTTTTCGAAATATGCTTTACCTTATGTTGGAATTTGATAAACAATATAAAATATTCGCGTCCGACCTTTATGGGCTATAAAACTGCTCGCTTGCAGCTCGCAGTTTTAAATGCCAATAAAGGTCTCCCGCTCATATTTTATATATTACATAAAGGATACTTTTTAAATCCCCCACCCTACCCTTCCACCGTATTTCTAAGAATGTGACGGCATTCAAGATGGCAGTTAACCGAGTAAAAGGTGTTTTTCACAGAGAATCATCCTCACAYGTGCACGTGACTTGAGTATCGAAGTAGTTCAACAATAGCAGGGATTCAAATCACTTTGAAGATGATTATCATACTGTAACCTACTGTGCTTATAGTGTAATAATATGCTTACAATTGTGTGTCATCGCTCACAGACCCTTGGCTTTCACGTCTTTTTTCCGCTTCATTCTTATCATCTGTACTTGTTCTGTGRGTGAGAGCAGCTTGCGCAGCGTGGATTGAAGCCAGTAAATCTGTACCAGATTCGCCTCGAGAAGGAGGATTAGGGCCACGGTTTGGTTTAGGTTTAGGCTTAACGGCAGGGGGGATTCGTGGTCCGAGTGAAGATCTAGGACTGGGGGGTGTCTCCGCTTGTTTGGGCGTCCCTCCTGTGGCTTCACGTACTTGCCAAACCAGCGGCTTTGCCTCGTCKGGCGTCTTGTCGAGATCCAACGAGTAAGCACGCTTCTCAAAGCTTCGGTCGTTTTCGTTTTTCTTAACGACGTCATCTTTTTCCACTTTGGACAAGTCCTCGGTAGACACTAATGGCGAGCCATGGTTACGTGGTAATGTTGAGCTTTTATTGGTTTCTTCTGTCGACTTCTCTTCACTGATATTATCAGGTGTTTCATCTTTGTGTAATGCACGTAGATTTTTTTGTTTACTCAGAATGTCATCAGTCGATATTGCCAATCTAAAGCCCTGTTTAGTTCCAAAAGGCGTAGAAGTCTGGGACGATGGGCGCGATTCAGACGTAGGAGACTGCGCTACAGGGCTAGCACGTATTGGTACCTCGAAATGCTTCTTTAAGGAACCTTCTCTTTTAGGAACCCTAGGTGGTCCATTTAGGTCCTTTGGCCTAAACGGGGAACCATCCCCAGGTGAGATGACTGAGGATGATTTTGGTAGCCCGTCTCCCGTAGGGGAGAGTGGYACAGAGTCGTTTGGATCGACGTCAAATAGTTTAATGTAAGTAGCGGGAACAAATCCGTCCGTGTCGTTTAACGTGCCGTCCCACCAGTCCTTATTAAACCTTTTAAACACTCGAATAATGTCCCCTTTCTTGAAAGATAGCTCCTTAGCAGAACGCGCTGAATAGTCATACAACGCCTCGGCATCTCTTGGACAGAAATCTGAATAGAAAAATAACAATGATTTTTTTCAATGGTTATTTCCAAAGTTAAAAAAAATGTTTATGCAAAATTATTACTTTTAATGGTACAAAAAAAAAAAACATCCAAATCGTGAAAAAGTAGAAAAGAAAAGAAAAAAAAAAGAAAGAAAGAAAAGAAAGAAATATCTATTAGCTTAATGCGCATCGCAGCTTGCTCTGATTTAATTGTTTCCTTTGATTTAAAACCAATCAGGAAACCACTTCTAACAAGTGATCTCTCTTAAAATGAAAGCACTGATCGCAAAGGTTGTCGGATGCAAGTAGGTCTTTACTAACCTTCATCGCTATCACTCTCCTCGGCTTCAGACAGTTGTGCCGAGTCTACCTCGGTTTCGCCAGGGAATATCTGATCAGGGTATTTAATAATGACTTCCATCATGCCATTCACGTGRCTTTGATAGGCGATCATATCTTGTTCGGAAGGTATTCGGAGAAGCGTCGGTCCAAAGACGACAGCTAAGTTGTGGGCATCCATCTTATTTTGTTCATGGCGTTCGGAAACCCTGACGAACATCAAGATGATACAATCATGATTCACACTCAATACACGACAACAAACTCATTTTACAAAGAGACACAGTACTGTCATGATCTAAGAATGAATACTATATGTATTTATCATATAGTTATCTATAAAATACCTATCTCTCTCCACTACGTAAAGTTGTTATTTTTTCATTAGTGAAAATAACACATTCGAGGTTTCTCTATAAAGTGGAACTAAGAAAAAAAGGTTTCTTTCTTATGTAGTTATACGATAAACTGAATATTACATGTTCGCTTGGAGATACGAATTTTATCTTCTCGTGTTGAAAATCTTTTCAACACTTGAAGATAAAATCCGTATCTCCGCGCGCCCATGAAATATCATCTTATGCTACTCTTAGCACAAAATACGCAAGGATGAGCAACAAGTCAAGACCGTTAACAACGTTTAACTGGCCTGGATTCCATTGCCAAAWAACCAGTAGGTTTTGTTCTGAACAGGACACCATGCACCATTCTGTTCGCCATATTTCGCTTTGTAAGTAAAATCATTTCGTGAAATCTACAATTTACTTACTGATTAATAAATCTAAACAAAAATCTCATGACAATGATGATGGGTTCTGGAAGAGAACTTGCCACAGACGCAACATTCTTGATCAACTCTTCTTCTGACGGCTGACCCACTGGAATAGATAAACAGATGAAAAAAGATGAATGAAAAACCAGAAAAAAGAAGGGAAAAATGAAGAGAGATAATGTACACGTAGAATGTTTCTATAGGAAATAGATCTTCTCATGAGCTACTAATAGCAAATGAATGACTACCGGCGAATACTGATATGCTGATAAATAAAATAATGGATCAATGAATGCAGAAATGGAACCTTAGAGTCAGCGAAAGTCGAAAGTCTATAGACGTGAGTTCCTGAAAACTGCCTTCAAGGACCTGATATACACGATATCATACACCTTTACCATAATGGCTGCAATTGTGTTTTTCCAAAATAAAATAGATATGAATATTTTGYCACTGTAACATCAAAGAACTATCAGAAATAAACGTTTTTGGAACGTTTTAGAACTCTGGAGAAAATASGAAAAAAGTTATGGTGAAATGAAAATACAAAGAAATGTATGTAATTTTCCACCAATGGCTGTCTGTCTGTTTGTTTCTGAATATGAAATATGTGAAAACTTCATGTCATGTGAATGAACTACCAGAAATAAACACTTCTTGAAAGTTTTACAGCCCTGGATAAAATGCGAACAAATTTATGGCCAAATGAAGATGCAAGAAATGTATGTAATTTTCAGCCAAGGCCTTTATAGCCTCGTTCTGGTGTTATAATATATTTTAAATCCTTATAACTTCACCAGAATTTAACATTTTCATTTCAAGCTTTTATATGTGGTTATTAGCACAGGTTCCTTTCAGCTGTTAGTTTACTTTGACTAAAATTCTACATTTTAAAAATTTATATTAATTAGATGGCGGCCATTATAGTAAAGGTGTATGTATGATATGTCAGTAAACGCTGAATCATTAATACTGATACAGGGTAGTAATGTACTTCAAGAAAGTAATGCATTACAGAATTTTTTATCACAAAACAAAAAAGAATTTCGTGTGCGTTAAGTCAAATCAAGTTTCAATGAAAATGAATGGATTGCAAAAATTTTCCCTGACGAAGCTAATGTGGTGTTTACATAACAACAATGCATTGCGGTCTTGGCATTAGAGTATTCAACGTTTTCTGTAATAGCTGTATAAATACTTACTGCTTGCTTCTAAAAACTGTTTATAATGAGACTTTGGGAACAAAGAATCATCTAATTCACGAAAATAAACACGTAAAAGACCCGCAACGGCGTTGATGTCCTTCCAGTGGTTCAAGCCAGCTAAAGGATCACGACCTACAAACAATACATTATCAACAATACAGATACATTATTAACAATACAGATACATTATCAACAATACAGATACATTATTAACAATACCATAGTTTATGACAATACAGATACATTATCAACAATACAAATACAGATACAGAGACCGCTCTCGTGGTGTATTAATGGGTTTTTGGTGGAGGACGTATCATGACATGTGGCTGCTACCGTGAAAGTAAAATAAAGACSCTTCAAAAACAACAAAATTTCACATCACTGACAAACCATTGAGTAGCACAGCCTACTTTGCAGCCTGGTTTAGGTTGAGACTTACGTTAACTAAATATACAAGAATAAGACACCGTGATGCCGATAAAGGTTTTGTGCTCTTAATTGTACTTTATATTACGGTCCAACCATAGGCCGCCCAACTAATGCATTAGAGACAGAAAAGAACGAATGCGCACGCTTTTATTATGTATATGTATCGGCTCGCGCTCTTAGCAAAAATGCGGGTTACCTGTGGTATATTACGTCACTATCGCGCGCCTCGCGGGATACAAACTAGTCTGTGACAGTCTGTCACAGATTAGTATGTAGTCGCGAGGCGCGAGATAGTGACGTAACACCACAGGTAACCCGCATTTTTGCTAAGAGCGCGCGCCGATACATATACATAATAAAAGCGTACGCATTCGTTCTTTTCTGTCTCTAATGCATTAGTTGGGCCGCCTATGGTCCAACMATTAGTATTTATTTTCATTGTTTATGTTTGGAGTATTAACACGAGTATATTACACACTATTTCACGGGTTAATTGTCACCTGCTTCAAAGAGTTGTTTCATATCGTTGATATCAGTTGTTGATCCTGACAGACGAAATATGCCTGGATGATCAAGACCTGAAAAACAAGCATATACACTATTGATTTAAGGAATAAAAGACGAAATTCCGTGTTTGATACTCTGATCAAAATACGCGGGATGTAGGGAGAGYACGAGAGAAGCGTAGGAAACCACGACSCGTAGCGGAGTGGTTTCCAGCTTTTCGAGTGCTCTCCCTACATCCCAAGTGTTTTGATCAGAGTATCAAACACGGAATTTCGTCTTTTATTTCTTTTCTAAAATTAAAAGGGATATCATCCCAGAGGACATCATAAATAGGCATTTCTTCGTTCATTGTTCTTGAAAATGAATGATAACAACAACAAATGCAAACGGCGGGAAAAAAGAAATTTTTGACGCGCGCGAGCGTGTTTTGATACTGTAATCAAACATGGTTTTCGACCAATCACAGCGCGCGTAGTATCCTAAATATTTTAGAAAATCTAAATAAACTTATCGCCCCAAATGACCTGCGTACTAATTAGGGAGACGTGGTTCAATTTTTGAATATGACGAATTTTAGCCTTGGAACATCATTACCTTAACAGATAGCCCTTGAAGTTCTTTGTATTTTACATTAATCCTAAAGTTTTTAAGTTATTTTTCATCTTTTCTTCAATATTTATGTGCGGATGCAAATGCTTTGTATCAAAAAAATTGTCCAGTTAAGTGTTGAGAAGTGTAGAAAAGAAAAGCTGAAGTAGCTATAAAATGGACAAATGTTTGCTTCAATGCATAAACTTACCAAATTTTTTGATAAAACGTACACAACTCTCCACTACTTCTGGTATCTGCCTCCCTGTTATCTGTATATCAAATGATAAAAGCTGGTTAAAATAAAAAAAAAACAACTTAAAATGGTCCTGAACACACCGATATGACTTCACGCTTGTCACTAGTTGAGTCACTATTGAAAATTGACCCTGAGTAGCGTAGCCAATCAGAATGTAGGATTTATAATAGTCTAATAATAGTATGGTGATACTAAAGGTTATTAATCCACGAGGCCATACTCAACAGACTGCTTATTGTTCTTCTAGTGAATACTAGACTATATTTTACCTTCAGGTATTCACTCATGTTACAGCCAAATATCTTTGTTTTCTTTTGTACAGAATCCAAGATGGCTGCTGCTTGGGGTGACTTCGTGTCGATTACTAGTTGCTTGTGGTAAGCAGCTCTCCTGAGAAATGAAAACAAAGTAATGAAAATAAATAGAGGATATTACATGGGCGTGCGGAGATATGGATTTTATCTTCGAGTGTTGAAAAGATCTCTCACGAGTGAGCGTAGTGAACGAGTGAGATATTTTCAACACGAGAAGATAAAATTCGCATCGCCAAGCGACCATGTAATATTCTGTTTATCATATAATTAAATATGAAAGCAAATTATGTTGTAAAATACCTTTTTTCTTTCTTCCAATATATAGAGAAACCTCGAATGTGTTATTTTCACTAGTGAAAATATCAATTTTACGTAATGGAGAAATATAGGTATTTCATATAGATAATTATATGATAAATAGATCTATTCTTGTTGTACATGATACATAACGGTGTACAAGAAATAAAGGAGTTCTTATTGAGTTCTTTTACCATTATGTTCAAAATAATAGTTCAATAGTGGCTTGCAATGTTTGAGGGTAAAATTGTGCTGACAAATTTAAGAATGCTCTCATGATTCACTTACTTGCCAACAGTGTCTTCAGTTACTTCACCTAAAAAAATAACAATATTATAAAAGATAAATATAATACACTTAACAGCAATACAGTATGTAGAAATTATGAACATATCATTGCCAATATTTTTTTTTTTGTAAAGTGCTAGTGCTAGGCAACTTTAACAAAATATCAGCATTGATATAATTTCTGATAATAATTTATAATAATTGGAATATGAGTCAAAATGATCATGATAATTTCCAATAATATATATATCATAACATATTAACATTGAATACAACAGCCTACCTAAAGCCCTTGCTAATACGTCATAACATAATAACATTGAATACAACACAGTAGCCTACCTAAAGCCCTTGCTAATATATCATTCTGTGCGTCAAGTTGTATTTTAAGACTATTTGTCATCATGTTCTCCTTGAATTTCTATTCATACAAACAAGCCACAATAAAATTTATGGAGATTTCTATAGATTTATCTTGGATGAGGCCATTCCAAGTCAATACAACCAATCATTATTTATTTCTATCAAATACTCCAGGAATTATACAATACAAATTTTGCACAATTTCGACATGTAAATGTATAAAATAATTCTGACACATTTATACAATTATTGAAAAWAACGAGATTATCAATCAGTGTTATCAACTGAATCCTTTTGGATTTCAATTAATGTCTGATATTCACACACAACAAGATTATCTCATTATAATCATGTTTAAGCATTGTGGGAATGGTTGAAATTAATATAATATTTTACTTACACTAACAAAATACAATTCTAGTTCTTCACAGCTTGCTTTAATAGATTGACAGCTGAGCATTCCTTGAGATAATTCTACTTGGCCACTTGCCATCTTCATCATTTCATTATCCCATTGTTTGTACATGTTCTTAAGAGCATCTGATGTTGCTTCTACTGTCTTTTGAATCTACAATAAATGTCAAAAATCATCTACAATGTACTTCACAATGCCCCGCATCACAGTCTGCATCAGGGTGAGGGAACTGAGCCCTACAGGTTGCATCAGGGTAAGGGGTTGCATCAGGGTAAGGGGTTATGCAGTTGTGGTTTGAAATGTGCCTTGGTTTGAAATTTTTGTTAAGGGGTCACGCAAAGGAAGATATCATGAACACATGTTCACTGATCAACTACGTGTAACTTCATGTAAAAGGCATGGCTACCTTTCAAAGATGGCACTATAGTCATTCATAATTCCAGTTTTCCATATATATTTTTCTTTTGCTTTGTTTCCTTTATCTTTTTTGTTTTAATTCTAGGAGTGCTTGCCTAATATCTCACTTCAGGAGATAATGGCAAGATCCATGCATTCATGTACATGTATAAAACTGGGGATTTGTTAACAACGGACTATCTCTGCTGCAATAACTTACTTCATCTGTTTCAGCTTTAATTTGTTTTAGTTTCCTAAACAAGTCACAATGGTGGTCTACAATGTCCAACTGCTGAGGTGAGATTTGAAAATTCTGAAATGGAATCATTGAAAGTATTACAGCGGAAATCTTTGCATTGCGACCTCTTTGTTTTGAAGTTTGTCTGGATTTTGCTCTTTCTTTTAGTCTAAGGCGTGGAGCTTTTCGAAAACTCATTTTATCATTGGCTGATTAGTATCAAGCTCCACCCCCAAGTCACAGAAAAACCTAAATCCCAACTATTTCCTTTGAACATTGAAGTCATGATGCAACAGTTTCTGCTGTAATTACTAGATTTGAAAATTCGCTTTTAATTAATTATTGATTGGTGTGCAAAAAATTGCCAACTAATTATTTTGCTATAAACTAGGGAAATATTATAATTTATTTTTGGAATGGGTATAAAAAGCATTTGCCTTCAATTCAAACAGAGAGCTGCTTAATAATAAAATTAGTTAGTGCAAGTTTGGTGATAATATTCTGATGTAATCCACTAAATCAACACCATGTCACTACTGTTCTACTAACAATACTTGATGTACATTTCATTGAAGACCATTACCTCTTCCTCACTGTATGGTAAGAAATGAAAATTAGTGAATGGTAAATTCAATGTTGATTGGTTATCTTCAAACAAATAATTCTTGTCAACATCAGCTTCAACAGTGAGTTTTACTTCACGTACAGATTCCAGTCCTTGAATGGTTGATGACGCTAGGGTACATTCAGCAGTGGCATAGGCTTCTACTGCATTTTTGAATGAATCATGGTAATTGAAATCAAAACCCTAAAAGAAAGCAAAATACATTGTAAATTGGTTAGATGGATAGTTAGATAGTTTATTAAAAAAA